ACAACATTCAACATCCAACCAAAAACATCTAACATCCAACATACAACACTCAACATCCAACATTCAACATCCAACCATAAACATCCAGCATCCAACATTCAACATCCAACACTCGACAACTGCACCAACCGATAATTGGAAGGATCATTGAGATCCAGATGCGACGAGCTGAATTCTGACAAAACAAAAGGCAGCAAGGGATACTGCATGACGTCATTGAAGCTCCTTCCAGATAATTTATTCAAGCTCATTAGGTATGTAAAGTTAGTCATCGAACCTGAGAGCCAATCACGAGTGAGCAACTGCAGCTGGTTGTGACTTGGTTGCTTCAGATTGGTCAATATCTTGTTGCTGACGAGAAAGTTGTACAAGTCGTCTCTGTCCTGTGATTGGTTGGTTGGTTGGGGTGATATGTGGTTGAAATGCACGAAGTTCTGTGAAGTTATGTTTCGATGAGTTGAATATTTCATTTCTCTTCGAAACCAATAAGTGTATAATGAGTTCCAACTGGAAGAGAGCAAACCAACAAACAACTTTTCTGCAGAGGAGGCGTCTTACAATGACGGGACACACCGTGCCACTACACAACATGTACACACACCAACACTACATTGCAACACAAACTGGCACTCAACAGATTTTTCTAAAAGATGAACGCATCAATGCAAAGAAGCTGACCTTGCATGATGGAAAAGCAAAGAGATATGACCTGCCAATACTGCACGTGATCTGCAGAGCTTTGTCCTTCAACATGTACCATCGCTTCGTCACCTCTCCAACCGTCCGAGTGTCTATTCGCAACAGACTGTCCTCTGCTTCGTATATCTGGAAAATTTATTTTTGTCTGTGAATGTGTGCTTTTTTATGCACAAGGTGTAGGAGCCGGATTCAGATTTGTCCTTAAATAAAAATTTTCCTGCTTCTTTGTGAAATTAAAGTTTATTTAATCTAAAGTTATATTTTGAAAAATACTGAAAAATAATAAAATAATTTTTGTTTAATGCTTATTGTTGTCCCTGTATGAGAAATTAATTTGTTTTTGTTATGTTGTAAAGATGCAAATTTCATATTTGGCAAATGTCTTGAGAGCCACCAGCCACCTCCAGTGAATAAAATAAATGATGAAAAGCAGCAATCAAAACCTTAAGTTCATTCTTCCTGGTGACCAAGTAGTCCAGAACGAAGAATATGAAATTTTTGCTGACCAGCAGGTAACCTGACGTCGTGTTATGCACGGATATGTTGTTGCATGTCGTGCTAAACCTGTTGTCAATGGTGATGATGAAGATGATGGCGAGGGGGTACAGGAGATGATGCAGATGACAAAAGTGATGCAGATGATAAATATTATGAAGCTGATGAAGGTGGTGGAAATGATGTACAAGAGATGGCGAAGATAAAAAAGATGATGTGGGTGATAAGATAATGGAAGTTAGTTTTAAAGATGATAATGATAATAATAGGGAATGATGAGTTGCGAAAATTAAAGTAAGAGTAAAAAGGTAACAACGCGAAAATGATAATGATGGCGTGATGAAGGTGATGATGGCAAACAAAACGGTGAACAAAAGATCCAATAAATTAAATCAAATCAATCAATCATTTTTTCTAACAAACAACCAATCATCATAAACTAACAATATTTTTTCAAGATTGTGTAACTTGAAGACAATAGATGATGGAGGTGGGTTGAAGTTGTTGTCAGATGTGAGGAAGTGCAATGGAGGTCTCCTCTCCTCCTGGTCCAATGCCGACTTGTATTGGAACTGAGGTCTGAACAGTGTTTTTGGCAATGTAAGATGTGTCCTCTTTAATCTGACCCTGATCTGGCATGGACCTTCCATAGGATCCAAGGTCCACGATTTGGCGGAATGTTCTTCCGAATACCATATTGCCTCTTCATGTGTAACCTGTGCAATTATTTTGCACCATTTTTCCTTGCCATCCATCTGTTCTTCCATCTGCATTTGCCTCCATGTCATGAAGTTGTTGCTAGATGCGACTTGAAAGCTCTGTACTGTTTGTGTCAGAGAGCTTGCAAGGGATTTAACTACTGTCGTCAGTTTGGAGAAGTGGTTGTCCATCTTAGTCTCAAACTGTTCAAGATTCTTGGTCCAAATTAGTTTTTCTTCATTGCGCTTGTTAATGTACTTCTTGAGTTCTTGGTCCATCCACGTTCTCTGGTCTTCAGTAATTTGTTCACCAACTTTGACAACATTAAAGCCAGAAATTTGCAAACATTCTAAAAGCTCTTCCAAAATATGACGATCTGCCACCGACAATTTAGAAAGATTATTCAACACGAACCTGTGAATGACAATTGAAAACTGCTGTGCTTTGCGATTAAAACGTTTAACCATTTGCCCGAACGTATGGTTTCTAGCCAGGTTGTTGTTGAGAAAATTTATTAAAGACGTCACTTCATTTATATTTCGGTTACAATTTTTGTCGCTAGCACTGTTGCTGCTGCTGTTAGTCGTAGCATTGTCATTACTACCATCATTTTTGCTCTCGTTGTTGTCGTGAAATTCACATGGAAATATGATCCACGTCATTATCCTTAAGATCTGCAAACAGAGAGTGTTCTTGATTTGGTTGAGTGTCTTGGAGATGCATGCGTCAGTGGGTGACAACCAATATATCGAAATAAGATCCATCATAAACTCTAAAACGGTATTTTGTAGCTGTTTGGATCGACAGCGATCGAACAAAACAGCATCGCAACACGTCTTCAACAACTTATCCAATCTTGCCATCAAATCATTTTCAGATAGTTGCATCATATCCGTGTAGCCAAACTCGACAAACGATGAACTAAAACTTGATAGCAAACTGCTGCTGCTACTTTTTGAGAATGCATTTGTTGAAATTTTACGATTTCCTAGACCTAAAAAGCCAAATAAAGCAGTTTTTGAAAAGTTTTGATTAGCTTTGAGTGATATAAGGTAGGGTCTAAATGTATCA